TTATAGCCCACTAGTAGCGAAAAGCGTCGGCTTTTTGGCGGCAAAAAAGGATTAAAGTCTAGCTTTAACTAGCTAGTTGTTTTGTCTCGATGTTTTTTTACCAACTAGTTGGATTTTACTAAAACAATCATTCCTCTCGCCTTCATGGCCTCTGAGCCAATAGCCCATTCGGCCTTCGGCCTCATGGACTATTGAATCAGAGCCCATTCGGGTTCGAGGAATATTATTAAATATTACGTTGGCGACAGAAGTCTAACACCTCCTCGACTGACTCTGGATCCAGAAAAAGACGCCCTTACTGTCTGTTCAGCGTGTCACTGTACAGCTTTCGAAGGGAATCTCTAACAACTCTTACACCTTTCTTTCTTGCCAAGAGCTCTAACCTGCTTCCCTTTTTCTTCTCGAGCTGCATCTTCATATTTGTGCCCAACGTAAGTTACATCTACATATGCCAACAACGACGCGTCCCCCATTGTATGAATAGATGTGTAAACAACAATGTTCTCAGCAATGCGATAGCACCTTGAAAAATGTCCTCTAAAAAATTCTGGTAACTCACTGAATCATTAATAATTTATTCTTGATACGTGTACTTTAAGTCGTCCTATTTTAAACCCAGTAACCATGTTCCCTGCAAATCAATCCTTCCTTTAGCATCTGTAATGGGTAAAAAAGCATAGAAAATTTCTTTACGAACCTTCGCCTAGTATAGACAACATCCTGCAGGGGATTCAACTTGAAAAAGGTTAAACACATCCGTCTCATCATCTTATTGCTTTCCTTATTATGCTTTCATGCAAGGTAGTTCTGGCCTGTTACTACACCCAGACCAAATTTGAAGCCTGCCTTGCCAAGTGGCTCCCTAAGCTATTCTCCAGCTTTAATCTTTTCATCGTTAGTGTTCAATGAAGTCATAATGTCATCCACGTACACTTGTAATAGGATTACGCCTATTGCTAGCGGGTGGTCATTTCTGTTATCTTCTGCGTTTTGTCGCTCAACGTACTGGACAAGGTAAAGTGAGGCGCGGTCATCGAACGTCAAGCTCATTGCTTCATAGACTTCTGGAAGTCTAGAGAGGTGTAACCTCCATTCTCAAATTTCCGTCAGATCTGCTACCAAGGCCACAAGATAGCTGCGAAAACGCAATAGTGCATTAAAAAAAACATCTTCCTCAGCTTTGGTCCAGGCAACATGCTATTATGGGTTATTCCTCCGTATATGGCTACTGAATCTTAGACTATCCTCACTTGAAAATGAGGTAGGTACCAACTGGATCTAATCCGGAAGTAACCCTTGGATTCATTCTTTCATACCTTGGCTTCTATCACCTGGCAGTATTTCTCAGCAACCTCCAGCCGTGGCTGAAAGTGTTTCTTAAGAGATAAGTCGGTCTTCAGCAGTCTTCCTGTTTGAACACAACGGCGTATCATCGTCCATGGAATTGCCACTTCACAGCCCCTCAGCATAACGCCTTGATTGTGCCTCTTCGCGCGCAGCGAGCACCTCCTCCGCTGTCAAGCGCTTGTTTTGATCAGCAATTCCCACAACGTCTTCGTCCCACATTCTCTACATTAGCTCATCGGCCCTCATTTATGAAGTAAAGGTTGCATGGTATATGTGTAAACATGGCAAGCCTCATGACACTCGTTTGCTTCATACGAGACATTTCCAACTATTGTCTATGCGAGTGGTTTTCTTTACTCTTACAGGCTCCCCCAGATGTCCTTTGCGATATTCAAGTGGTAAAATGAGTTCCTCATAATAATCACTTCTCAGTCAACTTCTACATGTTGAACTGGCCTTATGATCTCCAGGTTGCGATTTTGATCTAATTTCTTGCATTGACGAACCAATCAATTGCTTTCATTTCACAAATTTCCACAAAAAATAAGTGCTTCTTGTTGCTCTCATTCATACCCTCAAGGCTGGCGGACAGTTACAGTTTTGCTATCCGTTACATTCGACTTCGTTCCAAAAGCAGCAACACAGAGTGCGTACAAACCCAGTATGGCAGCGATCTCCTCTTGAGGAAGGACGTCCCAGACCCACCATCAATATGGTGGGTATCATCTGCAGCGCTTGGCTTTAAGGGCGTGGTACACTTAGCGGTTCAAGTCTTCAGAACCTCAACAGTTCGTGTGATTAGTTGGTACTTCAGGTGATGACGTCTTTCCTGTGGTTTCTTGCGAGGATTGGAATGTCTCAGCCGACGATGTCCTCTACTGTGGCATCTAAAGCACAAACCCAACTTCTCTCATAATTACCATCGTTCACTTACAGTTGATTCTTCCAGGTTTCATACAATGTCAGTACATGTTTTTCTTAGCTCACAAAACATTACATGAGTCTTCGAATGTTCTTTCTCCTGAGCCACTTCGATTTGTTTGAATTTTATTTAGGTTTCTCTTTTTCAGCATTCTCTATATTACTGGGGCAACCAAAGGCTATCACTTCGACCTGACTCTCGGTTTCAGCCACTCATCTAGGTCGCTAAGGTCAACTTATTTGGGCTGTAGCTTTAATTTTTGCCTGTTTCACCTTACTGCAATTTTTGGAGCTAGCTTTGAAACAATCTGCTGCATATTAGTTGCTGGTCTAAAGCCTGCTCCATGAATGTTCTCACAATATATGTTGCGCGAGTTGTCAAATTGTTTTCATCCTGATCTGCTGATATCTCCAGGAACTTATTGATCAGTGACTTTGAAATTAGAGTTGGGTTTCTAAATCGTTCAGTCACCTTTTCATACTATTGCACAAAAGACTTGTATTTTAAACGTTCAGGGGCTAACAAATTTCGCGGCACGCCATATGCATCTGCTACGATAAACGCTAGAAACGTAGCAACTTTGTAATCCGCATTGACATAATTCGCCGCAAAATACAATTCCACTCTTTCGATAAAACTTGCAATATCTTCTTTACCGTTCACATACTCTCCAACTTAACCTACAAGCACCATCCTTGTAATATTTTGGTCTTAAATAACAACACGAAACGAACCATTTGACAGTCATTCTTTTAATGCAACTGCGCATGTGCAAAACCTGCCCTAAAATATAAGAGGTCTGGAACTTAATACATTACTCAACCCAGATGCAATGCTGGATTCTGATTCGACTATTGTATCATGTGAAACGATTATGCAGATAAAGGAGGGTGTTACGATTCGCCGTCCCCTGCATGGGTATTGCGACAGAGTTGCTGTCTGGCACCTAGTAATCAATAGCCCCACACGAGTAGAAATTTTAAGCTATAATTTACACTATAATTATTTCAAAAACAAAAGTAAACTTTACCCTTCCATTTTGCTATCCGTTTAAAAGGAAATGTCAAGTGCACGTATTTATGGAATTCGCTGTCCACCTGTTTCGGTACAGTACGACTTTTCCTACCCTATTCACAGACCTGAAGGCGGATGATTTAAAACAATAGCAACAACAAAAATATCAAAAACTCATGCACGAACATGTAATTTCAGACCCTGTATCCAAACGGCGCAAAACCTTTCCCTATTTCAGACCCAAACGGTTTTAAACAATTCCCTTACAAAGGGACTACCCTCTCACCGAAACAAATGGGCTATGACGTTATGGTTTGCTGGTTCATTTTGATAATATTGCCAAACATGTCCTTATTCTCAATGGTACTCAGCGTAAGTTAAGAAATCACTTGCAAATGACAAAATCACTGCTTCAAGTCAAACACATTTGTTCCCCAAACATTATATGAAAAGTTACAGGCAAAAAAAATGAATTTTGAAAAACTTTTAGGCTATTTGAGTATTCAAAAACCTCAGTGTTAACGTAGTAAACGAACTATTCAAGGAATTTTTATATTTAATCTTGCTGGCAAAAGTAGGAAAACCGTAAACGCCCAACAGAAAGCACAAAAGTACCCGCTTTGTTCGAGTTTTTATAAGTTTTTTACCGACCGCCGTACTGCAAGGATGAAAGTGTTAACAGTTTACCTGCTACCCCGACCGATTTCATGCGTATTCAAGGACATTTAAGAAAACAGTCGCCATAGAAGTAAGTGAACTGTATGTTACTTTCGTTTTGTTAATTTAGTCTTCCTTTCGTTACTTTTCAAACAGAGTTGAAGTAGCTTAAATTGAGTTTGTTTCAAGAACTACGTGATTTCGCTGGTATCAACGTTTAGCTTTTATCGGAATTTATTCCGCTTTTTCTAGTTTCATGTATCAATTATTTGATTTCACTTTTTGAATAGAATATATTTGTTCAATTTTATTTCAGACCGAATAAAGTTACTGTTATACAATTGCGAGTTATTCTTCGGATTGGATTCTCCGTTTTCTAATGAAAAAATCAGTTGCAATCGGTTTCAACCCTTCAAGCTTGTCCTCACATGACACGGCTCCTTTTGCATTTGCTGTGTTACTGTTTTGAGCCCGAGGGGGTGGGGGGTGGGGTGGGAGTACTTCCTTATAAGAGGCTAATGGGGACGTGCCGCTGGCTGTGGTCCCATTTTCACGACTGGATTTATTATAATGGGGTAGCATATTTTCGGATTTTTGGGGGGTACGACAGTTCTCCATATTTACGGTTAGCAAACGTACCAGAATGTTTGTACTGCAGATGAAAAGTAAAATGTTCTTCTTCAATCTAAAAAATTGGTCAATTCATAAAAATAGTAAGTGACTAAGTTGGGATCGCAAAAATTACACATTTGCACAAAAGTGACTAAGATATGGTCTATAATTGGCCACAGAATAGACTATAATGGCGTAGGGGCTCTGAGAGGCCAGCGGCACATACCCAGGAATAAATTGGTGACACAAGACTTTTAGATATCACAGGAGTAACAGTACCTTTTTCTGAAGGAGGAAATACTTTCAACTGGATAACTGAAGACCTCGAAAAGCTGGGGTAGTCCTCCTCGCAGAGCCACTCACATTTATACTTTCCCTCGTCTGCTTCAGTAACGTTAACAATGGTGAGAATGAAATCTGTTTTGCATTTGGTGTTGGTTTTCCTTTCTTGTATATCATACTTTTCACCAGATTCTAATTCCCCTGAGTTGTTGTTAAAATACCACCGTAAAGAATTGTCCCAACAGTCGCTTGGCCTAACACCTACTTCGCACTCTAAAGTGACATTGAAGTAGGCTTCCACCGGAACCTGGGGGGAAGAAATCTTCGGAGCTTTAGGAAAGAAACCTGTATTAGATGATAAGAAGATATGATGAGCAAATATTATTTGAAAATCGTTACCATTTTTTTGTGCAACCGTAGGAGGTAACATTCCTAATCTTACCCTCCCCTCCTGAGTATTTGTGACAATATATGGGACATCACAACGCTTTGGAGTTTTAACGTGTTGATTTTGTTTATCCCACTGGTTCCCTCTTTTGCGACTTGTCTCGTCACGCCGTCTTTTAAGACGCTCTAACGATCGGTTGATCGGATAAACCCTACTTCTCTTACCTCCCACCAATATGGCCTGTGCTACTAAGTGTTGATTTCAATAGCTATTCGGCGTCTCGTTTTCTCTCTTTAAGAATCACATAACACTTTACATTGGAATCTTGATGTAACGAACAGCTGAACGAAGACCCAAAGGACTGGCAAAATATGTTCACTATAAAGAGGTTTAAATTGTTATATCGACGTTCCTTTTATTTATTGTACAGTCAAACCCCGCTCCGGTATGGAAACCCGCTCAATACAGACATCTCATTGTTACGAACAGTTTGCTTTGTCCCTGGGGACAGAAAGCCCTTACATTTTCTAACCGCTTAATAAGGTCCCTCCGTTAATACGGACTCTCTAACATCTCATATCCAACGCACACTGGTAGAAGAATTGTTAATTATACCGAGGAGTTCGTTACATAGAGGTTCTACTGGATTTCAGGAAAGAACACTCCCCTCTCATTAATGACTGTCCTGTGCTTGATTCCTCAGGCAACATCATATGTGGTCGGCCTGGTTGAGTTTTGTTGCTTCTTACCCTTATTCCGCCATCGCCGCCAAAACAATACATCACTCCCACGTTAATCCCGCCAGCTACGCAGGGTAAATTTGAGCCAGAATGGCAGACAAAGAACCACTTTGTGGATGAACTAGCGCCACTAAATCGTTATTTATTTATTTACTTATTTACTTATCCCTTGTGACCCGAGGGATAAACAAATTCCAGCGTCCAATTGGTCTGAATGGAAGAGGAAGGTGGAACGAAATTTTCAGTTATATTCTTTTAAATTCAGCTGGGAATAAGTTAATCTGTTATTTAAAACATGAAGCACTCAGTATTTAATTCCGCCTAAATCAAAAGAAAATGAGCTGTACCTCTTGTTCAAAATGGGTTACTTTCTATTGCTTACAGGGCAAACACGGCATTATCGTTTTATGAACCCGATTCAAAGGAGGTACTGTTAATTAAGGTGGTTTTGTGCATCCGTGTATATAAGGAGAAATAAGAAATTAAATGACTCACAGCGATGATACAGCTCAATTATCACTGATTTTTCAGTCGACCAGCCGGTAATGTTGTTCATTCCAGTGCATTTGTAAGCTCCTGATTGTTTTTCTTGGATATTATGATTGAGAAGAACGGAACTTAAGGTATCCTCTCCAAAAGGCTGCTCTGAGATGTAAAAACCTTCAGATCCGTTGATGATTTGTTTTTTATCTGGATTGTACCAAACTACACGAGGAAGAGGCCATCCCTTGAAGGTACACTTCAGTTCCTTTCCGTCCTCTAGTTTCCCGTCAGGATATAAGACAACGGGAGAACTTGTCATATATACTCTCTCAACTGGAACTAAGAAGGAATTCTTCCCCTTAATATCAAAGCTCGTAAGTAATGCACCCATGTCATTTAAACTAGGGAGCTTAAGTGGCGAACTCGAAAGTCTAAGCTCCTTAGGGCACTGCGCGCATTTCACCTTTGATCAGCATTTATGTAATTGGCTGCTTTTTTCTTCTTACTGTTTTTGTAATATAGTTGTAATTTTTATAGCTCTTGAATTAGTGCAAAAAAAATATCAAAATCTGAAAAGTGAAAATCTGAACCACCACGACAACATCGTCGAAAAACAATTGATTTTAAGATGAAAACAACAGTTGCTGCACGTGCGTCAAGCTTCTTAGTACATTTCTTAGACGTTCACTGCACGACTATGAAGTGAAACCTCCTAATGCGACGTTTTATAGAGAAAGTGAACATACGACAACGAATTCTTCTTTCTCTTTCTGAACCTGGGTAAAGTCCTTAAAAATTCAACTCCAGGCGAAATCGCCTACATTTAACAAATTAAGCAGCTCCAAGTAGACGCGATAACATTTGAAACGACGCAAATTTAATTTTTTAGCGACATTTTCACTGCCGTCATCGTCATCGTCGTTGCTTAGCTCACGATTTTTAAGATACCTACAGTCAAACGGACCAACCATGTTTTACTCCATGCCTTGTTGATGTTGAATAAGCCCTTTGCAGTAAGTCATTTTTGTGGCACAAACCTGCCATGCTGGAGAGCGAGGTCCTGCGCACTGAGTCAAGCCAAACAAAAAGCTAACATCATTTAAAATGATTCCTTTGTTTGTTGTTTGTCATATCCCTTTGCTTTTTTTGCCTTCCAGAGTGGCATGAGCAAATAGAGTTTCGCGGTGAACCATGTTCAAAGTGAGGTGATTCAGCTGGCTATAACTTCAATATAAATCCAACAGTAAAAATTGCCTCAGCTGAGCTTGAATCTGCCTAAACCTGTTACGAGGCATTCATAGGATGCGTTATAATCCATTTAAAAAATAGGACATACAAAAAAACTGATGGGCGCATTATGATATTTTTCTCCCCATCAATTTAATACAGTCAGGGCAAAAGAAGAACATACTCACTGGCGTATTTTATAGAAAAACATTCACGAGGCTGACTTCCATTCTTTGAATCGATTTGTTGTAAGAACAGACCGGCGTCACTGGTATTGAGGTGTTTTTCAAGGTACTGCCAAGTCATGTCTTGTACTTTTCCCCCATTCTTAATAGAGCAGTTCAAAGTCACTTTAGAGTCTTTGGGCGTTACTGTTATCGTCTGAAAAGGCGGTTGACATTTCTGTGCACTTATTTCACAGTCTAGGTTCCCTGTGGGTGACACATCTATCACGTAAAAAAGGAAAGATTAAAAAGGGAAATTCTTTATTTCAGCAAACATTCGCAATTTCGGTTTCTGGGAAACTGCCCACTTACCCCTCCCCTAAGCCGTCATTTTGCCCTAAGCGAGAAGTTAGTGTTATTAGAGAGATTAAGATTCACGTTTACGGCATACGGCAAACGGCAAACGTCAGTTGAAAATTTCTCAGAATAGAGAATAAGCAGATAAAAACAGTCCAGAACGATTCTTGTGGACAAAACTAGCATAAAACTACTTATTTTTGTGTAGAAGCAATAAACAGTAAACGAAAAACAAGGGGAAAACCTGGTCACGTGGTACAAATTCACGTTTGCCGTTTGGCGTAAACGTGAATCTTAATCTCTCTAATGTTAGCTTAGGGAAGGGGTAGGTGGGCAGTTTCCCAGAAGCCTAAATTGTCCAAACATTCATTAACTAACACAAACCTCCACAGGAACTCTTGACAAACCTACCACAGGGCACCCAACCTACTATCCGAATGAAAGTCGCTATCCCAGCCTATGTAAGTTTTTTGGCTGGTTATTGTTCTTTGGTAAAGTAATGGACCTTTTAAAAGATAGCTTTGCAATGGCTGATTTGACACACAGTCTTATCAGCGAATGATCGGAATAATTAATCTTACTGATGTTTGAAAATAAGCAATGATTATTATATTTAAAGTTATTTTAAGTATTTAAAAAGGAATCAATAATTAAATTCAAGTAGCTTTTGCAATACTGTAATACTTTGTTATAGTAATGAAAATAAAGCTTATTGTTGTTGGTGATCGAAACTATTTTCGTCATGATCGGTAATAAACATTAATGAATTATTTGATTTCCTTAATTTCCGAGTTGTTTTAGTCAAGGCAAGAACTCAATTCAATTCATACCTATCCGGTATAGTGACGACAGAACCTTTCCCCTTTTCCTCACTAACACAGACTCCGTTGCAGTTCCCACCGAAATCATCAATGACTTCCTTGTTAACTGATGTTGAATGAGATGGATATAGGCAGTAGATATTCTTTTGACTTGCTATACAAACTGTATTGTTTACATTTGCTTTGATGTTCTGGTCATTTTTAACAAATCGCAGGTGAACTGAGCTAAAGGTGTTTCCATACAGTTTTTCAGAGGCCATACCGATATTTTTCAATCGCCTTAAAAGTGTTTTTTTCCTTCTCCGATCGCTATCAAATTTTCACCAGTAATTGGTTATGGATAGAAATTTGTGAAAATGCAGTTTTAAGTAAAATCGATATTACTATGAGAACAATAAACAAAAAACTTTGAAATTGATAAAAGCCGAATTTTGTGTGATCTAGACCCGCTACCGAAAATCCAACACTAGGAACTTAAAGTTTGGTGTTTAGCAAACAATCTCCGTAGTTGTATGTTTAAATTCAACTAAAACGAAAATATATTTCAAACCTTAAATTTTCAATAGCCGTGATAGTTTATTTAATAAAAAAAAGTTACAAATGACTCAAATTATTCTTAAGCAGCGTCAGAATGCTGCTTAATATCATATTTTAATGCTAGGAAATTTTGGTTTATTTTCGTTCTTGATTTCTTGAAAACTAACCCGTTTTCTCACCACCTGTATAAGTGCAACTTCATTCAAAATTTGGACTTTTAGCGCTTTTTTGTACATCTCTCAAACGACTCGAACAAATTTTTTTTAAAATCTCTTCACATAATCTTCATAGCGGAGCTCCCGCGCGCGCTTCGCGCGCGCGCAGCGGAGCACCATGGGTAAGAAAATTTGGTAAACTATCCATCCCAGAAAATTTGGTTATGACGTAGCGTACGTCCGTCCGTACGGACTTTCCGGGTAGTGGAAAGTAGTCCGCATGGACTCTTGGGGTAGGGGAAAGTAGAGATTTTTTGGCGGGAAATCGCATGGCGCAACGTCGCGCAATTATATCGTACAACTGGTTTTGAAAAAAAGAAAGCAAGTAGAAAGAGTCAGAGCGAGAAGAAGGAGAGAAAATTATAGTGAAAAACGCCGGCAAGCAGAACGAGACAGAGCTAGAATGAACAGACAAAGGCAACGCGAAAGAGAAATACAAAGGCAAAGAGAACGGCAGCAAAATAATGACATGATGACAGAAAGTGTTGTGTTAATGTCACTATAGCCCCGCGCTATTAACATTTTGATTTCAAACTGATCTCGGACTCGAAAATTCAGCCAGTCATTTAAAAATACAAGCAGGGAAGACAGAGGCTTTTCACTTTTCTCACCATAGTCACGCGTTGATCACGCTCTACGACCGTCCAATTTTTATGCTCTGATTGGTCAAAATTTGACAGGTGAGGTCATGCAGAAACTGATTTATACAGCATCTTGAACCTTGTTTACTTTCAGTTTGACAGCTGAAGCTGACAGAGTATTATGTAAACTTGTGATGTTTTTAATTTTACTGTCTTTTTCCACTGGATGCTTAAAATGAAATACAGCTGCTATCAACAGTCTTCTTTGATTCATGGCTGGTTTGTTTATTGAATTTTTGGTCGGGAAATGCGCCGGTTGCCAAAGTTGGAAATCCGATTTCGGATGCATCGCTTTCGTTTTTACCTTGCTGGATGCGGGTTGAAAAGTCCCTCAAGCGATTCTGGCCTTACTTTATAGCTTTCAAGAGCTGCATCTCGAATGGTAAGCCCAAGTAATTATTGTATACAGTGTATGTTTGTTTTTTTATATCTAATTTCATGAAGTCGAGCGCAGTTTATGAGCCTAATTTATGCACGTTTGTATTAAGATCTGAGACAATGATCTGATCTAGTATATATAAGCTTACAGAACTTTAAAAAGCCTTTAGTCGATATTTTCTCTCCGCATATAGAGCGAAAAAACGTTCTGAAGAGTATTTAGTTATAATTTTGGCCGTAGAAAGAAAGCTTTGAGCGATTTTCTTGCCTCGAGTTCATCTTTGAAAACAGTAAACACCGGGAAGCCGGCTAAAAGCTTTAAGCTTAAGCTTAAAGACTCAGGATTTTTAGAGACGCTTTAATACTTGTCTTCGTGAATGAAAATTGTTGTCTCTGTAAATGTTTCACCGAATTACATTTCTTTTATTGATTGTTAGTAGTCTCTTACAATTTTAATCGCCTTGCCGTTTGTTTTCAGTCGTTCATAAACAACGCTTGCAGGTGTTCTCAAAATGCTGCTCGTATCAAACGCTTTTTAAGATTACACATCGTTATAAAACCATTTAATAAAAAAAATAAACACAATAAATTCTTTATTATGTTGAAGCGTAACTCTTTTAATGTTCACTGAAAATTTGGCCCTTGTCAAAAGTGAGAACCGGCTGGCCGTATAGGTGATTTTGGAAATTTTTTGAACGGTTTTGCTAAAAGCCCACGCGTTCTTCGTACGGTTCTGAATATTGAATGAGTGCAATTTGTCTTGAAAAATTGTGAAATACTGCATTTTGTCTGAGGTCTATATGATAAAAACAACGCCTCATATTACTGTTTCAGATGTGATGTATAAAAAGTATGAAATGTTGGTTTACACGCTCCCAGAGTTGTTGGCAAGATTTTGTTAAGTAAATCTTGTCGAACGCAAAAAATTCGGCCTGATTTGTTTTCCAAAAATTCGTTTTTCAGGCCTAATCTACTGTGATCAAGAGCCATTATGGCTCTAAAATGTGATCGAAGATAATTGCTATTTTTTGGGTGTATATATACGGCTATCAATTCGATGTAAGATTTTTTTTTTTACTCTAAAATCACTTAGCCTTAGCTTTCCCTTAAAGTCAACTGATTTGTGGATTACAAGTTTATTGTTTGATTTAAATTATAAATTTATTAATGGGAGCTTCGCTTTTAGCCCTGGCTAAATCTATATATTAATGTATAGAAGAAAGTCTGAAACTTTCATTGGATTGATTTACTGCAACACCTTGAAATTGAAAGGCAAACCTAACCTACGAACCGGTCAAAAATCCACGCTACAGCATTCACTGTTTTGACGTTATGCTAATTTTTCCAAATTAATGCGGACAACAAATATATCCACGACTAGTACATTTCAGTGTGAGTATTGTTAATGTTTTACATTCAAAAGATGCGATAAATTCAAACTACAATGTACTAGTCATGGAGGTATGTATAGTACGGTAAGTATTAGGCACCGGACGTATGACCAACACGATATAATAATAGTGCTCCTACTTCTGGAACGTGTACCAACTTGTCCCATAATATCCGGAAAAAACTTTTTTTTTTTTTTAACAACAAGTGAAATATCATAGAAAGGCAGCCTTTGTTTTTGTCCAGGTTCAGTAGTAGAATGCTGGCAACTGTTTTTAAAAGCATTTTATACAGGAAGCCTGAAGCGCATAAAGAACATGAGCACACACAAAATGAACTGTGGTTAACTTTTAGTGGTTGATGTTTATTACAGTAATGTTAGTATTGCATTAGTGGTTGATATTTATTATATGAGTAGTTCGTGTTACAATAGTGGTCGATTATTACATTAGTGGGTGATACAGCGTTAACTGAACAATTAAAACAAATCGGTTTTAACGTCAGTTTTATTGGAGAAGGCCCTCCTTCGACTTGGATTCAGTTACAGATGAAATACATATTTGTGCGTTTCGCAATAGAAATTTAAACTGTATTTGATCCCCATTTTATCACCCACGAACTAAAGCGGAACACTTAGTTGGGAAATTTCACTCTTCGCTATTTCCAAAGACAATAAATTTTGCTGTAGGTATTCATATTTTCGGCGCTCTGGTTACCTATGGTTAACTAAATGGCAGTTGCCAAAATTAGCTCTCGTAACCTTAACCTTAGTTTCACGTTTCTTTTGTAAAATAAACTGAGCCATTTTTATGCAACTACTGCTCGCCGTTTCTCAATGGCGGTCACTAACGATAGCTTTGCAAAAAACCTGGGAATATGTTAGATTAAGAAACAGTCTCTTTACACGCCCGGAGCTCTCCTCAGTCTCTCACTCTCTTTTCACCCTCGACCAGGATTTTTACGTATGAGCAACACAAAATTACGGGCTGTTAAGCATTTACGCATGTGTTCTTTATTACGGATATAGTTAGGCAAAAGAATATTAAGCAGTTTCTTTTTTAATAACTTTGGTCACTCCAAATCAACGAACCATTCGCGCTTTTGCTATAGTTTACCCGAAATTTTAATCATGAAGTTAATGCTTTTGTTTAAGTGTCGACGTAGTGGTCGGTTATAAGAACCAAAAAACAAACGAAACGGTCCAGCTAGTGATTCACAAGAGTGCTCCGCTTACGGGAACTGTTGCTTAAGAGAGCTTAACATTACAGCGATTTTAAAAGTCAGTTCAAACTGTGTTTCATTGAATGCTGCCTGTAATTAGAGGTGGTCGCTTATGAGAGTGTCGGAAGGAGAACTCCGGCTGTATTTTTAGGACGCTGAAGATGGGAAATAGCTAAATTATCGGAAAAAAATAGCACACTTTTAATTATTAAAGTCATTTTTCAAGCTACCTTGCAACAACGCCAGCGTCGGCGGCAAAGTTCCTGAACTATTCATTCCTAACCTACCACTAAAAGCTTTCATACTCTCTTCGCTCTCTTTTTAAACAGTGTTTTTGAATTTTTGCGTTTCCTAAATGAAAACTAAAATTAAATCGTTTAGTTTCACAAACACTCTAAGTATAACTGCTCTCAAATAGTACGTTTGGGACGCCACTACTCTTGCAGCCGCCATCAGTACCCCCACCAAAATTAGCACTCGCTTGCTCCCGACTTAAAGAGGGGTAATGTTGAATAAGGGACGATCCTCACTAGCAGGGGCGTAGCCAGGACTTTTTCGGAGGTACGCACAATTCTCCAAATGCCCTTACCAGCTTTAACGGTTAAACGTTCTGAAGCAATTAAACTGACGCTAACGGCGTAAGGGCAATTCCCTGTTGAGGTCGTTACTGAGTTAGTTTTAGCTTGCCAAGAGGCAAAATCAGCTTTCTGTTGCCTGTGATGAAAACCCTATCTGCTGTTTTAGGCAATCCTCGGCGACCTGGTCAGGGTTATTTCAAATGAAGCAGGAAAATAACGTGTAAATTATTGCTAAGTTTAAAACTGAACAGAAGGGCTCTCTGGACACTTTTCTTACATCGTATCCACAAGCATATGATTTTATTTTCTCAGTGCTGATTTTTCAGTTCAAAAGCCTCTGGAACTGTCTATTCTTTAAATGAGTTAGTTGTAACATTTCCCGGGGGGGGGGGAAGAAAAATTTTTATAAAAGAAGGGAACTTCCCTTCTTTTATAGTGTTCAGTACTTGATGGAATGAAAGTCGACTAAACGGCGTTTAAACCGGCCGTTGGACACAGAGCGGCTATGAACTTAAGGTAAGGGAGCTTTTTGAATCTATATTTCGCGTGATCATGATTTTTTTTCTTAGCGTTGTAGATTCGAATACATGTGATAAAATTCTAACAATAAAGGCCCGAATCACATGTAATTATGCAAGAAATCTCGACCTTCGTTATCTTGAAGGCTACTAGTACAGAAAGACAAACAATAAGACTTCATATCTTTGAGATTTTTGCCTTTATTTGGCATCAGATAATACACGAATAATTCTAGTATGTTCCAACCAAATGACCTCTGAAGCCCGAACCCAAACATAGTGCTCTTGGCTGCCTGTGGATGTACTTATACACAAAGCGTACAGAATATATCATTTTTACCGAATTACTTACAAAGATAACCTACCTTGGATCCAAAGACTCATCAAAGAACAAAGTAAAAGGAATTTAAGGAAACAAAGTTTGAGATCTTTTCGTTCGTAGTCATTCTCCATGTCTTTAGACTGTTTTTCTATTTGCGTGCGAAGTGCTTTGGTGCCAGCTGGTGCCAGTAGAACTTCCTCAATATTTTAATTGAGGAGAGGGGAGTAGTATCTAAAACGTGAAAGTAAAAAAGTAAGTGACATGAATTACAAATAAAATACTAGATATAATACTAAATGACACGCACTATTTGCCTTCTACTTCTATTAGTAGCTGAAGCTGTATTTTTCACCGAAATTTATACAAAAGGAAAAAAAGGAGAACTCATTATTCAGAATTTGTACCTATCGCAATATTCAAATGAAAATAAATGTAGACTTGCGTGTCAATATCTTATGCATTATCAGCTGGCTCTATGACTTTTGTATCACAGCCTCCCACACTCATTTGACAGTTGTCAAAATTGGTTCTTCACTTACCAAGTAAGGCTGGAACGGACAGCTGCGTAAGAGTGAGTGTCTGTAAATATCGAGCAGCTGGCGGCCACGGTCAAAAATAAAATTTCGCTCATATCTTGTCCATAGATAGGTATTAGTAAGAAACTAACCGTGGTGTACTTTGTTTTTGAAAAGGCCGCTTGGATTTGGTGAAAATCGACAAAAAATTAATTTTCGTGGTCGGCGACTTGAAAACAACCAAAATTTGAGGCAAAATGAGGGGGTCTCAAAAGTTCGCTGGCGCGCAAAAAGGAAGAAAGCGTGGTAAAATATTCCCCGATAAATCAATTTATAATTAACAATTATTCTTTGAAATCGAGGTGAATAGTGGCAAAATATTTTGTGGCGAGGTAAATATTCCTAAAGACACTATTCACCGAGATTGAAAAGAATAATTGTTTTAGTATATACACACGAAGTGATCTCAACAAAATCAGAGAGGAAACCATTAAAAAGTACGATTTGATTGACAGATCAGGTCAGCTAGACTCGCGATAGTTTAAAAATAGATCTTTGTAGAATTTTCAAACATGGCAATTCACAAGCTTATCACTTCGCAAACAACAGAGTAATGACTTAAATGGAACCGCTAAAAGTTTGAATTGTTTCCTTATCTGAGAAGAAAAGAAGAGCTTTGTTGTTTTCTGTTGACTCGCCAAGTTTATAGCCGAAAAGTTTGTTGTGTTGTCCCTCGCATGAAGTGCTGACAAAAATGGCGATTCGGTTCCTCGAGGTAAGACGTCGTCTTCATGTAGCATTCTTTCTCGTGTTTACTTGAAATGTAGAATTTCTGCAAACATTTGCTTTCAAATTTGTTTGTCATAAATAAACTTCGTTTTGGGCAAAATTTTTCTTGTTAGGAAACGCTGAAATCACGAAACGGCCTCCTCTAGGCGAATAAACGCCGGGAGTTGTAAACAATCCATCGACTTCAAAACTCAACAACAGTAAATGGAAAAAGGCCGTTTTGAATCCTTCGAAGTCTTTTCTTGCCTGAAAAAAAGTCAACCATAGGATTTTGTCGTCTTTTAAAAGATCTTTCTTTAAGAAAATGGGGAAAAAAACGAGCTCACACATTATCCACTCGCTAGGAGGTGAATATTGTTGAATAGTCCGAGAAAGCGAACCAATCAGATTGCTTAAGTCACCAAGATCATTGAGTGTGTATATACTAAAGGGTTTTAGCCCTGGTATGGCGCTTAATTCTTATCTTAACGATTATGTGGAAGGTAAACAATTTTATTTTAGTTTTGGTTCTTTTCCGACTGAACGAAGTTTAAATTTAGGCTTAAGGTCGCGATTTAATTTTTAGGCATGTGCTACACCTTGGTTTTTCCTGTTTTCAAAGTTAGGCCCAGTTCAAACGTCGAATTTCACATGTGCCGAATTTAATTGCTATTTTAGTCGACTAAAATAGTTAAACACGGCATTTGATTCAAACGTCGAATTTATCTCACTGAACTCTGTCGAATTTAACTCTCTTCGCTGTCAATATTCTCAGTAATATAATAGTAATTTACTAAAATTCATTCATTAAGTTCGGCACATGTGAAATGCGACGTTTGAATCAAAAGTCGAACCTCAGTCGAATCTTCGACTGTTTCAGTCGCAGATACGGCAAACGTCGCATTTAATTTAAACAGTCGAATTTAATTGATTCAAACGTCGCACTTCACATGTATTTAACTCTCGCGTTAAGTTCGACACATGTGAAATTCGACGTTTGAACCGGGCCTTATTTGTTCAATTATACAACAACTGAAAGGCTGCATATTAATCTGGCTACCAACATTGCTTGATTTAAAAGTGTACGGGTGGTCAGTTTTTCAGACACCTGCGTGATAAAAGTATTGACTAAGGGATTTGGAAAACATCAAAATCATACTTGTATGACGTCACGTCTCGCGTCAGTGAATTTCAAAATGGCGAGCAAGCTGTTCATCGAAGAGACAGATAAAAATTTCGATTTTATCACGGAAATACTGTTCCGATTTCTTGGATTTGGAGATTTTAAGGTTTCTATTGTCATAGAAAACTAAACTTAAGTACTTTTTTGGAATGAAATGTTCAGTGGAATAATGAATTTTAAAAATTCCTTTCTATCGTCGAGCAATTTTACGGGCAATCATACTGACCGGTCACACTTTTAAGGGCCAGTGCACAGCAAGATTGAGGAGTTTACACACAGCAATACGAGGTTCATCAAAGGATGTATTACATGTTACATTGTGCGTATTTTCAGCTCTTCAGAGCTGGTGGAACCCAATATCATTCCCCTCAAAGTTCGCTTAGCTCCAGCGTTGAAAGAGACAGGTATTTGTGAGAGACTGTGAGCATTGAATCTTGTTGCTTTACCGCATTTTAATACTGCTGCATTGGGCATACACCTGTAATTCTGTAATTAAATCCCGAAAATCAACAAAAGGTTTCGTTTAATTATTTTTTGGGGGCAAACCCAGTGGAGATTTTAGGGTAATAATATTGATTATTAAGACGATGTACAAAAGACGAGTTTAACTTTCGCCAGTGGGTCACTGGTAAGCGCGTATTTTAAAGCTATTTCGCATTATTTCGGGTTCAACGGGCTGACTCGATGTTGATAATCGATCGAACTAGCTTTACTGAATTTGGTGGAGAATTAGGAGATCAACAGAGGCCCACACTCGAAAGGAATGATATGAAGTTAGGCCTGTTTTGTTAGCAAAAGAATAGATGAAATACAAACATGCGTGATCTGTGACTGGAAAATCCTATTCTGGAGACTAGACCTTGCCTAGTTTAAATAAAAAAAAAAAGATTTAAGTTTTGATGACCTCGCCGGTCCCGTGAAATAGATGGCGATCCCGCAACACAGCCCGCGAAACAAATTAACAAAATTATACAATCACGGACACAACATATCAAAACGGTTTACACAAGCAGATTATAGCAACACCAAAGTTCACACACATTCGATCAAATAAGTTGCTAGCTTCTTAGCTTTCCCTCGACCTTGCTCGTCCAAATCACGTGACTGTCGTATCCCTTCCTAATTTGCAGAAGCGACCCGAGGCTCTTGCCCGTTACTATGTGACATCATACTGGCAGGCGGAGTGGGTCAAGAAACTTAGGTGGAAAACAATAGAGTTACCTCCCCCCCCCCCCACCTGGATCGAAATTACAAGGGCTTCAAAATTATTTTTTCGGGAATATTGACATTTTTTCTGATGCCTTCTCTATCACAATTTCTGATCCGAAAATTTTAATTCCCTTTATCTGGAGAAAACCTGTCTCGTGTAGGATGTTCACCCTCCTTCACCCTCCCAGCCGAGAGAAAAAAAACATCGACCCCAGCCAGCCTTAGCGCATGCTCTAATTGTCTCGCCTTGGCTATGCGAGCCCTTTACCGATACGGATCGGATTTGATCCGGTCGGAAATTGCGATTTTACGTAAATACGCAAACTGATAAGATTAACCATCTTTTATTTAACTAACTTTTATTACGATTGAAGATGGGCTGAGGATGTTTTGATACATTAACAGTTATCTCTTTTGGAATCAGCTGAATCAGCTTTAATGCTCAGCAGACATCTTGTCCCCAACTTTGACATTGGTTTAATTAATTTCTATCTTAAGTGTTAACTGAACTGACGTTAATGAGTAAAACCTATAATCAGATAAGTTAAAAGAGATAGACTATAAAGTCGGATGGAGAAGAACACGAACAGTGCAGAGAACTAAAGTATAAAAAGCAGACAAGGAACTGAGAGAGAAGATAAAAGTGAAGAAAAAGAGAGGAAAAGTGCAGGGACAGAGAAACTGTGAGGTAATAAGAAACTCGGTTAAGGAAACTGTAAGTCTATAACTTAAAAGTAAATCCTATTGTCCTTCTGAGAACGACTCCATCACCGCGTGTCAAGTAAAACCTCTATAGCTTATCACAGGTGACTTGTGGAACGCTCGTTTACAGCGGTGCAGAACGGGTCGGTACGATCTGAGTATCTCTCGCCTCGTCGCCTCAGCTCCTTATTTATCAATAGAAGAGTTTTGGTACGAACCCGCTCCTCTTTGCACGACCGAGTAATCCAGCTTCCGCAAGACATCTATACCGTCTCCCCAGTTGCTGAAATTGGATCAGTTTGGTTCAGTCGTCCTTTTTGTTTGTTCTCCATTCTCCCTCACAAAAATCAGAAGTTTTGACTTTTTTTTTTCTACGTGAACTACAGACTGGTGAATAGCACGAAAAAGGACAGGACCACGTGCCCATTGTTACAGAGGGACATGCCACCTTCCACATTGACGTAAACAAGGTGAACTTTTAAACGAATGACTTTTAATCCCTACTATATTTATGTGTTGTTCAACAAGTTATATAGTCTTAATAGTATGCTTATTTTAAGGCCAATCTTTTAATCAACTAACTTTACAAACTTAGAGCCTGCGAACGGCAGACGTTTCTCTTCGCTCATCGCCGCTGAGGGACTTTTCGCGAGGAGGAAACACGTAGTTTAATCTTAGGTTACAACGCACACTTATTAG